GATGGAGCTCGTTAGCCCGTAAGGCAATCCATCTACGTCCTGAGGACCTCACTGCCACCGTCCAAGCGTGCTTGGCCCCGGCAGATGAACCTCAGGATTAAAGGGTGGGCTCAGTTCCGCGCACACTGTGTCTCACCTAAAAAATCCAATGCGCAGGCTGGAAGGTGGAAAGACCTTCCCCGGTTCTTCGTTCGCGAAGAGACTGGCCATTACATAAGAAGGCAGTCAGTCTCAGGAACAGATGCAGCTGTGACATGGAAAATGTGCCCCATATGCAGTGATAATGGGTTCAAGAGACAGGTAATGTCTTTATTCCCTCCTCACTCTTCATTATATCTCATCAGGAACTATGAAGGTGTTCAGTACTAAAGCTACCAGAGAGCAGCAACACAGAAAACAACATAGTGTGCCTCAAATTAAGATCAGTATTATCTTGCTGCAAAAAGGCAAAGATTTCCTGACCAGGTTTGCATTTTCCTCTCCACTAGCTCAGTTTGCAGCTCTGCACCCCTCCTGGCTCACAAAGCAGAGGTCACACCACACTGCCATCCCCTTGGCCAACAGTGAGAGGTCAGGATAAAGTGCCCACCATCTCAGCATCTCCAGCAGTGATGTACTGAGAGCAGCATAGAGGCTCCACTGAGGCACTGACAGACCCACAGGCATCGCTGGACTGACAGGTTTACAGCTGCAGTGCACTGCCCTGCAAGTGCCTGACACCAGCCTTCGCTCAGTTCGTCTACTGGGAGAAAAAGAAAAACCCCCAGTAATCCTGCAAGCAGCAGAAGTACTTCCCATGTCACTGCATTTTCCCATGGCTTGCCAGCACTCTTGTCTGCACAGACCAGTGGGGAAAAAATATTACTATTTTTTAAGCTATCTCACTTGCCCACTTGCACACTTTGCAATTCCTAGTAGAGCTGCACTAGCATAATTACTGAAAAAGCCTGAAGAGGCCCGTGGAAAAATAGTGATATTGTAATAATGCACTGAACACCTTCAGCTGAAAGGTGCCAAATGAACATAAGATGCACCAATACCCTAAAAATATACAGACACACTTTTCTTCCCCCCTGCCTTGCTCCACAACATTGGCTTCCCCTATAATTCCTCTTGCAAAAGTAAATGAAACATGTACAGCCAGGAAGCATAAGCTGCCCTTGTAAAGCATTCTGATTAAAAACAGGAAGATACGGTTCAAATCTTGAAAAGAATTAGGCGTAAGCTCCAATTTTAGAAGATAAAGATCCTCAATGAAACAAAAACCTGGGCTTGGTGGGGCAGGGGCACAGTGAGGAAAGCACACCATGACACGGAGCTGCAGAACCACGCTGCCGTCAGGAGACACCATCTCCTCTGAAATCTGTCAGCTCTAACCAAAGTTATATTCCAAGCATGCATGTTCACCTAGGACGCCAATATTCCAATTCACAAACTAATTCAAACACAGGATTCCTTTCTGCAACAGATGGGCCCTTCGATGGCAGCAGGCCTGAGCCCGTCCTTATTTTTGCTGCTGCAGAGCGGCTCTGCCATGGCGTGGACATCAGAGTGCAGATGCAAACGATGCCAAATCCTCCAGGCCTCGCGGAGGCAGCGAGCTGGCACTGATCTTGCTGTCCCTGTGCAGCCAGACCGGCACGGCCCCTCTTCTAGGGACGTGAGACATAGAGATACACACTACATTTTACTCCAGACTGATACAGAGGCATTCCCACTGGCTGGCAAACTGCACCTGTATCGCTAATTACCTTAATACAACTTAAAATGCACACAGGCACAGTCAGACCAATCAGAATTATAACAATGCTAAGCCAGCTGTAAGCCAGACTCCTGACTTAATGCTAGGAGAGACAGCAGAGAGAGGCAAAAAGAATAAAGTTAGAGGTGCATTTCTAAAATGATGCATAGTGAATATAAAATCACTTGAACCTCCCTGAGGTGTGAGCTTCGGTTATCAGAGATATGCAGCTTCTAGCACAAAAGAGCATCTTACTGCCCCACATGCTTGAAAAACACACGTATTGGTTAAATAATTTTAAAAGTCACAATCGAAAGGAAACTGGATGTTTATGACACTTAAGTATCAGAAAGTATCCTTATTTATTAGTGATGTCAAAACTTCAGAGCTACATCTTTTTAATATCTTCAGGTTTTTCAACAATGTATATAAGTGCGTTTAGGATAATTCACACTAGTTGATGCAAACTAGTTGTATTATATTTCTGCTCGATGAAGAAATAAACTCTCCAGTCTCCTGCAGCCATAACATGCACATAACATATTGTGCTCTTTGTATTTAGCAATGGCTAATATACTCTAATATACTCTCAGAAAAGCTCTTTTGTTCCAAATCAATTACTTTAATAATGTACATTTTTTAATATATTAGTAAAGAGGAACTAGTGTGGGTCACACAACTGACTGTGTCCAACCAGATACATGGCCAGGACAACATGTCTAAACTTGTCAACGTGGATGGGACTAAAAAGATCTCACTGAAGGCCTGCAGCATCTCTAAGATACAATTCTCGGTTCAGCTGGGATTTCTCCACACAGTATTTTAAGATGCAGCAACCAGTAGTTTAACAGATCGAGATTCAAGTCTTAAAGCACCCTGTCAATGGAAACACTTCAGTATTATTTAGGTTATTATTTAAAAATAAAATAAGGCCTATTAAAGTCGTACTCAAAATCTCCATACAACTTTTTTTAAGGGAAAGACGGCCTAAAAAATCCTTTGTAAAAACGGTCCTTGGAACATCCACAGAACCTTTCCTGTCTATTCTTCAGGCCCTCCTGATGCCCAGCTTAGAACCAGACTGACCACACTAACTGTGGCCGAGCAACGCAGCCCAGTGCTGCGGGTTAAAGCCTAATCCATCCCGCACACACAGGCAGGCAGCAGCAGGCAGAGAAGGCAGAGCAGGCAGCAGCAGGCCGGCTCCGCGCCCCGGCCTGCCCGCAGCGCGCATTTTCCGCGCAGTCACAGAGGGCTCACCCAGGCCCGCGTCCCGGGGACCCCTTGTCACCTCCCTGCCCCGGGGGTCTCCCCACACCACAGGATGGGGGGGTGGGCACCCATTTCGTCCTCCCTCCGTCCCCGGGTTCGGCAGCCTGGTGAGAGGGAGGGGGTGCTGAGGGGGATGGACGCATCGGGCCGGGTCACTCCGAACCGCGCCGACCCCCAAACACCGACGGCCCCATCGCGGCCGCGTCCGACGGCGCCCCGGCCCCCTCTTCTCCGCATCCGCACGGGTCTCGCCGTGCAGTCGCTATTTTTAGGCCACGGGCGACCCAGCGCTTTAACAAAGATAAATAAATAACGCGAAAGGCGCCCTCCCCTCCCCCCACCATCCGCGCTACCCCCGCGCCCGGGCTGCGAACCGCGCCGCGACCCGCACACCCCACGGGGGACACGGACAACAACGGGGGACGGGATGGGGAGGTGGGGGGGAGGGCGGAGGGGGACTGGGGAAAGTAAAGGCAAAACGACAATAAATAAATAAATACCCGCTCTCCCCGCACCCCGCGGCCGCCCCGCACCCCGCTGCCCCGGCCGCGGCCCCGGTACTCACCGGGTGCCGCTGCCGGCCGGGCCCGGCGGGCGCGGAGGGAGCTGCGGGCCCCGCTGCCCATGTGCTCGCCCGAGCACGCGCTCGGCTCAATGGAACGCCGTGCTGGCGAGCGGCTCTGTGACGTCACCGCCCCCCGCCGCCCGCGGCCGCAGCCCGGGGCAGCCAGCGGGGCCCGCCCCCGCCTCCTGCCCCGCACCGCCCGCTCCGCATCGCTCCACCGGCACCGCATCGCTCCACCGGCACCGCATCGCTCCATCGGCACCGCACCGCATCGCTCCACCGGCACCGCATCGCTCCACCGGCACCGCATCGCTCCATCGGCACCGCACCGCACCGCTCCATCGGCACCGCATCGCTCCACCGGCACCGC